GAATACCATCTAGTTTTTGTTTCTTTTTAACTTGAGTACGCATAAAAGCTCTAATAAAGTAGCGCGATGATCTAGAGAACCGTAAGTGATAGAAAATCCATTCAAACTAGATATAAAACTATGGAGGTGGAGCTTGTTACATCTTTTTTCCAATTTTCAATACTAGGTTTCGTTCGCCTAAAAATATCATTCGACAATGATGATTTTGAAACGTTTTATTGTTTTATCGTTTCGCGCTAATTAAAATGACGTCATCAAGTAATAGTAGCCAATAGTCTATTTCTTCGCATCTGATCTAAGATAGTGAATCATTAAAATAATTAATCGTTCAATGAAAAAAATTGTTAGACAACTGGTTGTTACATTTTCAGAGAGATTTCCTAGTGATGAATTTCAAAATGGTCGATTTAAGAATAGTGAATGCGAAATTTTTATTCAAAATTCGTATACGGAAATTAAAAAAATAAACGTTTGTAATGAATCTTAAAGTGAATCATTTATTTTTAAATCTTATTCTCGCTACTTTCGAAAATTCGGCTCGTGTGCTTCGCACCGCATTTCGTAGTCGAGTGAAACTCGAATACCATCTAGTTGAGTCTAACAATAGAAATTTCTTAACTAAAATCACTATTCAACTATTACTTTAATAAATACTAGTTTTCTACATCGTACACTCATTAAATATTAGTAACATGGCATAGTAAAATAATTGATTGTATCATCGACACAAAATGATTGTTAATTTTTATGTAAATGTTAATATAATATTTACGATATCATTCATCTCATATTCTCGAAGACAGGCTTATTCGATGTATACTGTAAAAGAAAAACAAATTCTGATTATGTTTCTGGCGAACTTTGATGAATACGTTAATGAGAATTGATAAATGCAACTCTTAAGAAACTAAAGCATGATATTTACATACTGTACATGAGTTGAGAAATCATTTGGTAGAAATAACCATTTTATATACTATCTATTCAAAAATAATCTGAAACCTAAAATAAATGAAATGAAAAAAATCAGCCTAGTGCCCGTTTTTGTGTTTCTGCTACTCAGTGTCTGGAAATAAGGAGAAACATGTGTGAAAAAATATTTTCCTGTTTTGAGATGCAGTGAAAAGTTCTTGATCTTTCAAGAACTATCTTTAATTTTCCATCAGTAAAAGATTCACATCTCGAAAAGTCATTTAGCTGAACCATTTCTATGTGTAGAGGACAGGGACAATTGGAAAAGTTCAATATTAACTTCCATGTGCATACTAACTTGTTAGTGTTAGTATCCTGCAAAAATAATCTCACTTCATTCTCGTTTCCTTATTCTGTTTCTGTTCGCGGAAGAAAAGACTGAGAAAAATATATAAATTGCCAGTAATCACTGAATCTAGAATTGCTTGTTTTTCGTTTGTGTGAAAGCTGGAAATGTTGAACTCTTTTTCGTCTCTATGCAAAAGTGATTGTGAAAATCTCGTCGGAAGTATTTTGAGGGGCTACCGGGACTTATTTTTTTGGGATTTATTAGATCTTTTAAAAAATCCGGGATCTTTTCTCCATGTGGTATAACGTGGAAAAATGCTCTTATAAATCATATAAATCTATATATATCACAATGGCAACTATCCTCGGATCGATTTTATCAAA